AGATCTGCAAGGTCAGCAGTTCAAAACCACCAGCCAGCCCTGAACGATAAAGACGAGACTTTCTATTTCTGTAGAGAGCTACAGTGTCAGGAACTCTCCGAGTTCTAGTCTGCCCTCAGAGGGTCACTCTGAGTCAGAAGGGACCCCGCGTCAGGGAGTTTGCTTCTGAGAGTTGAGCGACCGGAGCAGCAGAAGCTGAGCGGTGACTGCTCAGTGGGTAGTGATGAAAATGTTCTGCAGATGGTGGAAATGTCCGCGCAACATTGTCCACACACTAAATAGCACTGCATTGGGCAATACATCAGTTAAAATGGTGTAAGTGTGACTTTGGGGTTATGTGCATTCTGCCACAATAAAAAATGTGAAATAACCCCACAGATTCACTTTCTTTTAGAATTAAGTTGGCAATTTTTGACCATCTTCTAAGAAGACCTGATCATGAGTTTTGCCATGTCTACATTAGTATTATAGTAATTTTCTGCTTCAATCGATTGTGAACAATACACAGAAAAAATGAAACCAAAAGAGTTAAATAGTGGAAATTGTAGGTTAACAGTGTTTTATTTTATCTATCTACTAACTACTTGTCTCATACTATTTTATTGTTTCAGAATTCATACCCTATAAAAGTGTGTATGATATTGGTTTTTTTATCAAGCATACTTGGATATTGCAAAGAAGTTTCCCAGATCTTCCAACAGGTACTCAGTGCATTCCACGTGTCCAAATGTTGTGCTGTGCAGAAGCAGAGACGACCTATTCATGTAGACATTGTCATGTGAAGAATGACCTCAGAGTCAGAGCGCACATTTTGATTAGTGTGTAAACTAGAAATATCACACGTAATCATCTTAGAACATAAGTGTCATATTATTTTAGGTAAAGTTAATGCACATCTGAAGCAGAAATGTTGCATTTTTACAAATTCCCAGTAGCTGTGTGCCTGACTAAAGTGTTAACTATGAACATTTTTGGGACATTTTCTCTCATTTCAATTTTAATATTTGGTTGACACAATAGTTAGATTTGAATTTGATCATTTTAATATAAATGTTTATCAAAGATCCACTTGGACCAAGAATGCAATTTGAAAGTATTTTCCTTTCAATTTATTTTGAAGCAATAAAGATTTCTGTTTGAAAAAAAAAATTCAAGTGATAATAAAATTTGGGAACTTTTAATAGCATAGGAGCCCTGCTGGCACAGTGAGTTATGCATTGGGCTGGTGACCTCAAGGGCAGTGGTTCAAACCCACCAGGCACTGCCTGGGAGAAAGGTGAGACTGCTGTCTCTCACAAAGATTTCAAAGTCACTGAAACCCAAAGACAAAATTTGACTCTGTTCTAGTCTGTAGTCACAATGAGTCCAAATCGTATCATAGTCGTTTCTTTCTGCTCTAGTTCTTAAATGGGCAAACCAAGTTCAGATGAGACCCGGGGTTTATGAAAATCATGCGGCAGTCTTCACTATGGTGGATAAGGGACATCCATTCTGTAGCTTTCATGGTGGTTTAAAGTGTTTTCTTCTTCAGGGCTTAATATAAGGAGAACTGGAAGCACATTGGGTTAAGTCTTGGGCTGCTTACTGCTGGGTCCATGGTTCAAACCCATCATGTGTCCCCTGAAGAGGAGCACAGCTGTCTGGCCCTCGATATTTAGTCTC